CATTGCCTCTCCCAGGGGCTCCCAGCAGGCACCGGACCCCCAAATCCTCTTCATTCTGCAGCCCAGCTCAAAAACAGCTTCTCGTGGCCCCTCCCCTCGCCCGAGCCTCCGTCCTTTGCTTCCACTACGCTTCTGCCGAAAAACAACATCCTTGCCTTGCTGTGCTTGCTTCTCTGATCCCCGAGTGCAGACAGCCTGTTCTCCCTTGTCTCCTGAGCACATGGTGGGTGCTCAGTGTGTATTTGTTTTGTTTTGCTTTTATTTATTAATTTGAATAGAGACGAGGTCGCACCATGTTGCCTAGGCTGGTTTCGAACTCCTGAGCTCAAGCAATCCCTCGGCCTCGGCCTCCCAAGGTGCTGGGGTTACAAGTGTGAACCACCACACCCAACCAGTGTATGTTTGTTGTATGGCCTAATCGAGTGCACTGGAAGAGGCTTCATTTCCCTTGGAGCATTCACTGATTAATTACCCATCAGAAAATTCTTACGTGTAACCTACTGGGTTAGTATTGTTGATGAACAGCCTAACTTAGTTCATTTTCATTTTTAGGGGAAGACCCTTTTTCTACCAAGTCATTGAAGACAACATGATATTGTGTCAGAGAGAATTTGTTCCCTCAGCAGTGTGGGGTCCTGGGAGGGGTCAAGGGTGTGGGGCAGAGAGAAGGTTCCAGGTTGAATTGTGAGCAGACACCTTAACCCCTGGTGTCTCAGAATGTGACATTGTTTGGAAACAGGGTCCAAAATTGTTTGGAAACGTTGCCAATGTCATTAGTTAAGATGATACACTGGAGTAGAGTGGGCCCCTAATCCATTTGACACAGACATACATACCAGGAGAACAGCATGTGAAGGCAGCCACCAAGCAGAATACCAGCAGCTGGACAGGGCTGGCACGGATCTTTTCCCAGCACCCTCAGAGGGAGCGCAGCCCACTGACACCTTGATCGTGGACTTCTAGCTTCCAGAACTTGAGACAGGAAGTTTTGTTGGTGAAGCCACTCAGTGTGTGTGGTATTTTATTATAACAGCCTCAGCAAACTAATAGGCTGGGACCTGGATTTTCCAGTTCCTGGCCAGCTGGCTACTTTCATTACTTCCTGCACAGTCTATGAGGTGCTGTTACTCACTTTTCCTTATGAAAATAGCCTGAGTGGCCGGGCGCGGTGGCTCAAGCCTGTAATCCCAGCACTTTGGGAGGCTGAGGCAGGTGGATCATGAGGTCAGGAGTTGGAGACCAGCCTGGCCAAGATGGTGAAACCCCATCTCTACTGAAAACACAAAAATTAGCCAGGTGCGGTGGTGGGCACCTGTAATCCCAGCTACTCAGGAGGCTGAGGCAGGAGAATCGCTGGAACCCAGGAGGTAGAGGTTGCAGTGAGCCAAGATCGCGTCACTGCACACTCTAGCCTGGGCGACAGAGCAAGACTCTGTATCAAAAAGGAAAAAAAAAAAAAAAAAGATAATAGCCGGCACAGGGCAGCAGTTACAACAGAAGATGGAAATCCTATTTCTGTGTGAAATCCCCTGGTTTTTAAATGTTGGCAACAAAATATTTTAAAACAGGTGCTGACCAAAGAAAACGCCCCTGTGAGGCCACCTGTTTACAACCTCTGCATTCGTGGAATCATGTTGTGAGAAGTTGTGTGAAGGGAGGAGGATCAGGGAGAGGAATTGACCGATAAGATAATAACAAGCCACTGATAACAACAGTGCTTAGACTCATAATACTAAGCACTGTTCTGAGTGCCTTATCTATGTCATCTTGTTTAGTCCTTATTCTAATCCTTATTAAACCCTGTGAGGTGTGTTCTGTGATTGTCCTCATATTACAGAGGAGGAAACTGAGTCACAGAGGGCTCATTCCCTTGCCCAAGGCCACACAGCTAAGTGTTCGTACCAAGACACAAACCCAGGGCTGATTCCAGGGCACATGCACCTCCTTCCAGTTCCGTGTGGAGAGGGCATGCGGCTATGGGTGGGGAAGCCTCGGGGCTGGGGCTAAGAGACAGTAGCAGGCTAGGGATGACTTGTGTGTTGCTGAGATCCACTTGGGAGCTTCTATCTTTGATGTGTGGTAAGGACAGGGGTTTCTGTGCACCCTGAACATAGGTGTGGAACTAACCAGGCACTCAAACTTTGTGGCTATATAAAGGGATGCTACCACAGTAGTCATTGATGGCTCATTACCTTGCAACAAAGGAACTATTGTGTGTTAGCCAATGACAGCATTCACCAGCAAGGTGTGATTGTCAGGCCAAGGAAGTGACATGTAGTGCCGTGCCTGGGACAGCCTGACTATCCTAGTCCCAGTTCAGTTGCACAGGTGACGGTTTGGGGGTGAGGACAAAGCATTAAGTGGAGGTTGGTGGTAGACAGTGGGAGAGCCTCAGGGAGAAGGGCCGTGAAGGCAGCACTTAGGTGTCACTGTTCACAGTAGAGAATGGCTAATTACTAGAGGAAGGGTCCCCTCCGCTCCCCTCCCATTCCCTCTCCTTCCCTCTTCTCCCCTCTCCTCTCCTCTCTTTTCGGACAGGGTCTCACTCTGTAGCCTAGGCCAGAGTGCAGTGGTGTGAACACAGCTCTCTGCAGCCTTGACCTCCTGGGCTCAGGTGATCCTCCCACCTCAGCCTCCCAGGTAGCTGGGACTACAGGTGCACACCACCATGCTAATTTTTTGTAGAGATGGGATTTCGCTCTGTGGGCCAGTCTGGTCTCCAACTCCTGACCTCAAGTGATCTGCCTGCCTCAGCCTCCCAAAGTGCTGGGATTCTGGGTGTGAGCCACTGTACCTGGCCTGGGTTTTTTTTTTCTTTTTTGTGAGACGGTCTCACTCTGTCACCCAGGCTGGAGTGCAGTGGTGCAATCTTTGCTCACTGCAACCTCCCTGCCTCTTAGGCTCAAGCCATTCTCATGCCTCAGCTTCCTGAGTAGCTGGGATTACAGGCATGCACCAGCTAATTTTTGTATTTTCAGTAGAGGTGGGGTTTTGTCATGTTGCCCAGATTGGTCTCTAAGTCCTGGCCTCGAGTGATCTTCCCACCTTGGCCCCCCAAATTGCTGGGATTATAGGCGTGAGCTGCTGCACCTGGCCAGGTCTGGGGTTTTCTACACCGTCTTGGTTGAGGCTGGAGCTCAGGTCATTCTGGGAAGTTTGCAGGTGTCCTGAGGTTGTATAAAATCATCCCCTGGGGGGCTGCCCAGCTCAAGTCTCTTATTTCTAGAAACAGCTGCCCCTACTCGTGCTCTGGGATCAGCTGGGAGCCATTTACAAGCCGTAACCCCACCTGCTCTTACTGCACTGGATTGGACCAAGCGTGGTCTCCTGATTTAATCAAGACCAGCTGCAGAGAACACTGGGGTGTTTTTGAGAGTGGCTGGGAGACAAAGCCGTGTGACCTGAGATGCGTAGAAAACGTCTCCAGGACAAGATGAGTGTCGAAGACTGAGAGGCAGAAAGTCGGGGTCTGCAGCCTCTCCAATCATTTCCGAGATCCACTGCATCTTCAGTTCAGGTCAGTGTTCTTATCTCCAGATGACACATTTTTCCCTTTTGTTTTAGCTATTCAAGTTGGTAACTGTTACCAGTGACCCCACGTGTCCCACCCAGTTTCTGGGGGGAGCTGGCATGTGGGTCCTTTCGGGCTCTCAGTCACCTACCAGTTTGGGGGACTGGGTTTGGGCCGGTACGGGTTTGCCATCTGGGTTTCCCTCTGGCTTGGCAGGGGTGGATGAGGTGTGATGAGTTCAGGGTTGGAGAGAGCCTCTGGGGTCGTGCAGGAAGCGTGGGGGATCCGGGCACTGGGCCACATGTAGCCTCACCTCTCTCAGCCTCAGGAGGAGGTGCTGTGTTCTGGGGTGGTGCGCAGAGGCTCCAACACCAGGAGGAACGGCTGGACCCCCCCAAAGCTGATGCATGATTTGTGCCAAGTCAGCAGCAGCTGGGAGGCCGAGACTGGCCTCCAGAGCTCCCTGGAGTAGGGTGGGGGTGGGTAGGCGCCGTGCAACAAGGTAGGATAAGGGCAGTAGCACCTGGAGAGGCCTTGCGTCTTTGAGATGCCCTGGAGTGGTGGTGGGGGCGGTCATAAACATACTCATATTATCACCACAGTGATGTCACTTTGTAGTCGAGTAGGCTGGAATGCCAGTCTTTACCATTACATACTGGTGCGTGATCCTGGGCGAGTCCTTTAACCTTTCTGCATCCCTGTGTCCTTGAGAAAATACTGCCCGCATCCTGGAGCCACAGGAGCTAGAACCTGCACAGTGCTTACACTGGGGCCCGCCTGGTTTGTGCGCAGGCTCAGTAACCACAGGGAGCGTCATGAGGAGAAAGGCCTGAGGAAGCTGAAGGGGCTTTGCCTTTGCAGCCCAAGGAAGTGCAGAGGTTCAGCCTTCCTGATTGTCTCACAGACCCTTCCCAGGAGCTGCCCAGACGTGAAGGAAGGCCCAAGCTCACAGTAATTGGAGTGACACTTACTGAGTGGCTCCTACGGTTCAGACCCTGTTCTAGGGACTGTATGTGCATTAACTAATTTAATACTCCCAACTCTGTGCTGATAGTTGCTAGTTTTAGGCCCATTTTACAGATGAGGAAACCGAAGTATAAAGCTACTTGCCCAAGATCACACAGCCAACAAAAGACAGAGCTTGGCTGTGAGCACAGTCATTGTCCTAAGTCAAGGCCAGTACTGAGAGTCACAAAAGGACAGAGTGAGTGACCGTAGAAGCAGGCAGGACAGGCATTGATATGTCACTGAAATGACAACCTGCTTCGGTGCTGTTGGATCAAGGCTATCAGGTGTTTTCTGTGCTCAGCCCCAGACTCTGTCAGCCCTCCTGCCAAAAACGTGTATTTCAAACCAAGGAGCTACGACAGGTCCCAAATTACAAACCAACTCTCATAGAACGTCAACAGGTCTTTGGGTTTTTTTTCCCTGGAGCTCCCAAGGTCTCCACCTTCCCAAGACATTTGGTGGATGCCAGAAAAGCCCCGCCCTAAAACCAGAGTTGAGAGAACGTCTTCCTCAGGTACTTGTTGTCCATCAGTGATGTACTGACCGCCTCTGTGAAGTTTTCCAGATCAGGGATGGTCACGTAATTCAGGAGCCTGTTCATTTTCCCCAGAAGGACCCGGATCTTGCAGGCTGTTGGGCCGGGCTCTGCCTGCAGGATGGTTTTCTTCTTCATTTCACTGAGCACCTCCGGGATCACAAACTGCGGGGATGCACAGAGGACTGGGTGAGAATGCACGCTGCCTGAGCGCCGTGCCCCAGACCCAGGCCGGGCCTCCTGTGGCCAGGACCAAGTGTTCCCTGAGCCTTCACCCGAGAAAGCAGATCTGTGTTCTCAGCCCCGCCACCTGCCACCTTCCTGCTGCTTCCAAATACACTCACTTGGCTGGTGTTGTGGTCATGTGGACCATGGTGATGTGGGCTGAGTCCACACCCATGCCTGGCCCTAAACCTGAGGGAAAGCAGCTCTGGTGCTCTGGCACAGCCTGCCCTCTGAAGGCCATGCTTTCCTGGGGCTACCAGGCTTCTCCCCATGGGGTCCCGACCATGGGGCTCTGCAAGGGCTGGGATGCCTCACAGTGGCTGCCTGTGAGCCCCGCCTCCACCTTAGGATCCTTGGGAGTGTATCTGGGTTTTGTTTAGATGAAGGCCTGGCCCAGGGAGGCCGCCTCTATGTCAAGTTCTGCCTGGGTCTGCAGCCTGCAGAAGACAGAGGACAGAGTCTCCTGGAGGGGATAAGATAGGACGATACCTGTGTGCTCCATCCTATGCGTATGAAATGTCTTCACACAATATTGTTATTGTTTTAGCCACACAATAACCTATGTTCATCTTATAGAAGACTATGGGCTCAGACCACAGGCTAGTGTCACCCAGGAGGTAGAGCGGCTGGGCATGGAGGGGTCTGTTCTTCCCCGGGCACACTCTGCCCGCTTGGGCTGACCCTGTGCCAGGCTCTGTCTCCTTTCTTTGGCTCTGATTAGTTACACTGTTGCTGATTTGCTTCATTTGGGACACGCCTTGCACAGGCACAGCTGCCCCTCCCCGGGATTCTAGCTCTCCAAGGCGTCAGGCCCCCTGGTCTCTCTGTCCACAGCAGCCCTTCCTGCAACCTCGCTGGGCACTGCCTTCCTGTCCCCGCCCTCCTCCCTTCACCATTCAAAGGCCAGTGCCCCAGGCCCTCATGTTGTCCAGCCCCAGCTGGTCCCGGCCGTGGCAGGAGTGCAAATGGCCACTTGGGCTTGGTAGTGCTGGCCTCCTCTTCACTGGATTGGCTGCTCTGAGAAATCCAGGATAGGCAAAGATGCTGGGATGTCGTTATTCACTTGCAAAATAGGAGGCCTTGCCAGGCGAGGGAACCTGGCGGGGGCCAGCAGGCCAGGCCTGTTTGGAACTTTCGCAATTTTAGCACTCAAAGTCCCATGTCCCAGGAAACTCCTCAGTCCTGAGCAAACTGGCGTGTCTGGTCACCTGAAACCTAGCACACTCCCTCCTTTCTTCTCAGCTACTCTGCACACAGCTGCATCTATTCTGCTAGAGTCTGCTGTCATCAGCCCACTTCTCCATCTGCCTCATTCCCAGGGGACATGTCCATCCATCTGTCTGCCAAGGCAGTCCTGCTCCCAGGGGCCCTGGGCACCTCTCTGGGTGGGGGGTCTGTAAAGTGGAGCCTTCCATGTGGAATAGCCTGGGGGAGCTGAGCAGGAAGAGAACCTTGCTTAGGCCTCACTGGGGGAGCCACGGACACCCTCATTCCTTTCCTTGACTCTGGTCCTCAGGAAGGGTCTCAGGAGCCCACCTTCTTCCCCCATTACAGTTGGAGTTCCAGGGGTCCAGCCTCACCATTTGGAGTAGGTGGAACTGTGTCCCCCAAAAGTGACGTCCAAGTACCCCAGTGCTGGGGAACGTGAGCTTATTTGGAAGCAGGGTCTCTGTGGATGTGACTAAGTTAAGGCTCTCAGGATGAGCTCCTTCTGGATTTAGGGTAGGCCCTAGATCCAACTACTGGTGTCCTTTTAAGAAAAAGGAGAAGGAGGTTTGACACAGACACACAGAGGAGAAGGCTGTGTGAAGGTGGAGGCAGACACTGGAGTGATGCTGCCACGAGCCAAGAACACCAGAAGTCATCAGAAGGTGGAGAGCAAGGAAGGGTCTCCCATTGGAGACTCTGGAGGATGGTGGCCCCACAGACACCTTGATCTCAGACTTGGCCCAGAACTGTGAGAGAACAAACTTCTGTTGTTTCAGGCCTAGTTTGTGCTGATGTTTTCCAGCGGCCCTAGGAAACAAATACAGCATTGATCCTCTCCTGCCTGCCTGGGCAGTGTGCCTCAAACTTCCAGGGGATCATCTGTCTAGAGGAGAGTGGGTTTGGGGAGGAGGGAAGAGGACACAGCAGCAGGCCTGGGGACACAGATTCCCCCTTGTTTCTGGCCCTGACTTCTGACATGGCCGCTGCGAGTGTCAAGTGAGATAATGCAGCATGACATCTGTGTTTTATTCTCAGGATCATATCCTGAGCTCAAGTGACCCTCCTGCCTCAGCATCCCAAGTAGCTGGGGCTACAGGTGCGAGAGCCACCACACCCAGTTAATTGTATTCATTTATTTACTTATTTATTTTTTGAGACAGGGTCTGGCTCTGTTGCCCAGGCTAGAGTGCAGTGGTGTGATCTCAGCTCCCTGCAACCTCTGCCTCCTGGGTTCAGACAATTCTCCTACCTCAGTTTCCCAAGTAGCTGGGAATAAAGGCGTAAGTCACTGGGATCAGCTAATTTTTTTGTAGTTTTAGTAGAGATGGGGTTTCACCAGGCTGGCCAGGCTGGTCTCGAACTCCTGGCCTTAAGTGATCCACACGCCTCGGTCCTCCAAAGCACTGGGATTACGGGCATAAGCCAACGCACCTGGCCCATGCCCAGTTAATTTTTAAAATTTTTTGTGCAGAAGGGGTCTCGCTATGTTGCCCAAGCTGGTTTCAAGCTGCTAGGCTCAAGGGATCCACCTGTCTTGGCCTCCCAAAGTCCTGGGGCAACAGGTGCAAGTCATTCTTCCCAGGCTAGCCTGAGCATTTTGATGTGAATTTCCTCAGAGCTTAAGCTCACAGTGCTGGGAAGTTGCATGAATGCATTTGTGTGTACTTAAACATCAGGTAAAGCAAAGTGGCCTTGTTTTTTATACAGGTTGGCATATGTAGAACAAGCCTGGAGGCCTGTGGCATGGGCCAGTCTAAGCCAGCAGTGGCCTTTGTACAGGTGGGCACCCCACCTGGTGGAGGGTGTGGGGAGTCATGACCTTACCTTGTACCTGGTGCCCAGGTTTAAACAAATCCGCTTCTGTTCATAGGCGAAGCAGAAGATGATTTTATCCTGGCTCCTTATTTGTACCTGGATGTACTCATTGATTTTCAAGGAGATGGGCTGGAGAGGGGGTGCATGGACATGGATGTTCAGATTCCACCAGTTCCAGGCCTTCTGACGTTTGTCTTTGGGGAAGTAGTAGCCCAGGTTGGAGCTCAGGTTCAACCTGCACCAAGAGAAAGCATGTCAGGCAGCCAGGGCGCTCAGCCCTGGGCCTCTGCTCCTCCTCCTCTCCTTCCCTTTCTTTTTCCCCACTTGGCCACAGAAAGCCTGACAGGGACTTGATGGGTAGGAGAAGCTCCAATATGGACAACCAGCCCAACACCAGGCGCTGTCCTCTGAGCTGGCCTCACTGTATGGCCCTGTCCCACCCTCCTTCCCTCTCCTTTAGTTCCTGGCGGGTGCAGGCTCTTCCTGCTCACAGCTTTGCCATGCTCTGCCCTCTGCCTGCAAAGGTCCCTTGCCCCACGTAGCACGGCTGGCATCTACTTATCCTGTAGGTCTCAGCTTAGACATCACCTCCTCAGTCTGAGCAGCCCCCCGGTTCCCTGTGGGACTCTCTGTTGCCATGCCTTGTTAGTTTCTTTCATGTAATTTACGAATAGATACGGTAAGTTCTCATTGTTCACTGTATTATGTTCTAGAAAGCCAGTGATTTAGTGAATAACAACCCATAGCTCCTAGGGGAAATACGCACACAGACACAGCTCACATAGGTTATCATCTTAAATCCTAAAAGCAGCCCATCCTGCTAGGTGCTGTTTTTTTTGTTTGTTTTTGTTTTTAATTTTTATTTTACAAAAAAGAATAGGAGGCTCAGAAGTGTCATGTGACTTGCCCGAGGCTGTCCCAGTGACACGTGCTGGAACTGGGATTCAAACCCTGTCCCACCAGCCCCAGAACTGCAGTTTCTTGCACTACACTGCCCCGTGTAAGGACACCTGTGTCCTCTGGTTGCCTCTGCAGGAGAGCTGAGCAGAAAGGCAGAGCGCGGCCTTGTTCAATCTCAGCCAGCAGTGTGCACACTGGGAAATCAAATTTCCCACTGCTCTGGGCACGTCCCTGGCTCCACGTGAGTCACATATTATACATGTGTGTATTTCCCCTAGGAGCAAGGGGTTCAGTATCGGCCAATGCAGTGTTCTCAATGACTTTATAGACTATAACTACCATGAATCATGAGAATTGACTGTATTTGTCCATCATAGACAAATATATATATATCCCCACACCACGACCACTTAGAAGAGGAAGGGAAGGAGAAAATCCTGAAAAGAGAGTCCTTTACCTCAAAGAGATGGAGAAACATTTTGAAGTGACTGAGTGGTCTTGAAGTGGCAAGATGGTTTTCCACCATTACCAGAAATGGGAACTTAGAACTAAGTTCAGTAATAGTGAAATATTTAGAAATTTGCCTTTTGGACCATGGACTCTGTATGCATATGTCTCCAAACCCTCACCAAACCCTTCTCTCTGAGGCACCCAGAAGAGGGAGGCACTGGGTCTTCCTAAGGAAATTCTCACAAAGGTGACTCTCAAGAGGTGTTCAGGAGATGAAACCAATAGAATGTGGTGGTTGTGGAGGCTTGACGGCTATTTCACCCATGGAGGAGCAATGGTGCAGTAAGAATATTGTGCCTCCTCTGCAGTCAGGGACCTCATGGACTGGTCCATCATGGTGCTCATTCTCTCATTGCCAACACGTGTAACTCTTATACAGGGAGGGAGGAAGTTCACACAGTCTGTGAGTCACGCTTTGTCCAGCTGCTTCTCCATGGGCAGGAGTGTTAGGGACTCAAGACCCAAGCTTACCAGATGTCACTATTTTCATCATAGAAGGTAGCATTGCCTGAGTTGTTGATAAGGGCCCGGATCCACCCTTCTAGACTGTCTTCCAGAATGATGTATGTGAACTTTTTCATTTTCACATATAAGATGAGCATAGCCAGGTTTCCTGATGGATAACTGGGAGAAGGTTAAGGCACAAGCAGTCAGTCCTTGGGGTCCCCTGGAAAAGGTAGGGCTCTACAGATGATGTAGGCCTCGGTCAAACCCCACACCTCAGTCCAACCCCACACCCTGAATCATAGACATTTTAGGTGCCAATATATGTCAATACGAGCATCTCTGTGCTTCTGTGGATACTGTATCTGGCCTGTCCCATCAGGAAAGAGAATTTGATAGACATTCTTGTTGGGGTAGAGAATTAATTTTCCATCACCTTGATGCACCTGAGAAGAAAAGACAAGTCTATGAAAAGTGTGAAAAGTGCATGGGTACCAACTGTCCTACTGCACAGCATGGTGTTGACCCCATCTGCTTGCTCTCTGATGTCACATGCTACCTCCCCAACTTGCTGGGGAGCTGCGGGGCTTCAGTTTACTTGTCTATACAATGAGGAGGCTGAACTGGATCTGTGTGTGTGTGTGTGTGTGTGTGTGTATGTAGATTTTAAACTGTCATTTCAATCACCCCAATGGTTATTGATTGTATTAGTTTCCCAGGGATGCTGGAACAAAGTCTCACAAACTGGGTAGCTTACAATGACAGAAATTTAATCTCACTGTTGTGGCAGCTGGAAGTCTGAAATCAAAGGGTCCCCAGGGTTGGTTCCTTCTAGAGGCTTTGAGGAAGAATCTCTTCCATGCTTTTCTCTTGGCTTTTGATGCTAGACAGAGATCCTTGACGTTCCCTGCCTTGTGATGCATCACCCCAGTCTCCGCCTCTATCTTCATGGGGTGCTCTGTGTCTTCACATGGCTGTCCTCTTAGGAGGACGCCATATTGGATTAGGGCACACCCTACCTCAAGAAGACCTCATCTTCACTAATTACATCTGCAAAGACTATTCCCAGATAAGGTCACATTCTGAAGCACTGGGGGTTAGAACTCTGACATGGCTCTTTCGAGGGAACACAGTTCAACCCATGACATTGGTAAACTCAAGTTTTTAATTTCTTCTTCAATCCGTTTTTGCAAACTGTTTTTCTAGAAAATTGTTCATTTTACATAAACATTCAAATTTATTGTCATAAAAATTGTAAGTTTATACTGTTCTAAAGAAATCTCTGCTGTCTCTGTGGTTATGCCCCTGTGTTCATTCTCTATATTATTTATACCTTCTGAATCAATCTTGTCAGAAAGTTTGCCTATTTTATTAATCTTTTCAAAGGACCAAGTTTTGGTTTGTTTATTCTATTATTTCTTTGTTTTCTATTTTATCGATTTCTGCTCATATCATTATCATTTATATCCTCTACTTTCTGTGGAGTTTCTATGTTATTCTATTTTATTTTTCTAATTCCTGGAATTGAATGCTAAACTCTTCTGCTTTTGTCTGTCTTCTTCTTCAAGATCTTCCTCCTCCTCCTCCTTCATAAGAGAAAGCATTTAAAAGAAAGCCCCCGACACCTAGTATTCCCAGGCAGTCTTGCATCCAAATAGTAACCAGGCTCAACTCTGCTTAACTTCTGAGATTAGACAAGATTGAAAGCATTCAGGGGAATATGGCTGTAGATTTTTAAAATATGTGTTTAAAGCTGTTATGGTTTGAATGTGTCCCCCCAAAAACATGTGTTGAAAATTGAATCCCCAGTGCAATCGTGTTGGGAGATGTGGCCTAATGGGAGGTATTTAGGTCATGGGGGCGCTAACCTCATCAGTAGATTAATACCAGTTATAAAAGGGCTTGAGGTTACGAGTTTGATCTCTGGCTCTCATTCTCTCTCTTGCCCTCATGTTGCCTTTCCCCCATGGGATGATGAAACAAGAACCCCCTTGCTACGTGTGACCCCTCCATCTTGGACTTTCCAGCCTTCAGAACCAATAAATTTTTGTTCGTTGTAAACTACCCAGTCTGTGGTTCCCTGTTACAGCAGCACAAAACAGACTCAGAAAAAAGCTGTAACATTCCCCTCAATTTACTGTTTAGCTGTTTCCCATGAATGTAGTTATTTACCTTTCATTTTACTCCATTCTAAATATTTTCAGATTTGACACACAAGTTATTTACAAGGGTGTTCTTAAATTTGCCAATGTATAAAGGACTTTTGGTTGTGTTATTACTATTCTTGATTAAAATGCACTGGGGCAAGAGAACATAGCTTATACAGTATCCATTCTTTTGTGTTTGCTGAGATTTGTTTTGTGACCTGGCATGCGATCAATTATAATAGATGTTTTGTTTGTGCTTGGAAAGGGTGTGTGTCCTCTAATTGTCCCCTGTCCCCATGTTGGTGGATTGTCAAGACCCATTGTTCCCCTGCTTCCTCAGCACACACACCCGGCTCATATACTCTTCTGGTTTTGTAGTTTTCTCTTTATTTCTGGTATTGGCTATTTCCTTACTTTCTTACATTCTCTGTTCTGCATTGAAAAGGATGCTGCTTCTGTTTTATTTCAATTCCCAGGTGTCTGCAGCAGGAAGGCTTTGCAGACCATCTAGTACCTCACATTAACCTAACTAGAAGCCAGATCAGTGATTTTCAAGCTATTTTTAAGTTTTTTTCAAAGAAACAAGAGTTTATTTTTCTAATCAAGTGACACAGCTACTGAATCTTAAGGCCTCAACAAATGTTGCCTCTTATTGTCATTGAACAACAAGACCTTCTATTTTGATATTCCAGGGAAATAGAGATTTCGTTTCTCCAGTAGTTTCCATTTGCCAAACAATCATGAGTGATGGTTTAACATGGTGGCTACTGTTTTCAGGAGATTCCATCAGATGATTCCTCATTTCTTGTGCAATAGCTATTGAAAATTTTTTATTAAAAGTTCATCCATCAGGACTTCTCTATTGTGGTTGGCCACGGTGTCCTGTCTGACTGCTGAATGATATTCCTGAAATATCATGGATATTCTTTGCATTATTTAAAAATATTCTGTAAGCAATCCTCTGAGCAGGTAGTCTCTTCGGGTTTTAGCTCTCTTGTTGTGAAGTCTTTAACTCAGTTAAAACAGTTTTCTGGAAATTTCTTGTAGTTGCAAGACATTCCTTAAACTGTTTTATCTGATCAGATTCTGGTATTTGTGCAACCATATTCTTTTAGTATGTTTATTAGTCACCATTTTTGACACATGAGTTTCCTTTCTGTTCTGGAAAAGCAGTTGTCCAATCTTTGCTTGAATGTCTCCAGTGAGACCTGATTTGTTAGGTAAGTGCTGACTCTCCCTTCTGACATCGGTATGAAGCTGGGGACCGCATTGCCAGTTAAATCTAGGGGTGGAGGATTGGGGTCATGATGGGCGCTGTGGTCACTGGATGGGCTCAAATTATTATTGTAAAAGTTGAATAATTCTTTGTCCAAAAAAGCTTATAGCAGAATGTAAAATTTAAGGTGATAAGAGACAGATACAGTTCTGTTTGAGAGAAAGCTGTCTGTTAGTTTTCACCTAGACATCGGGTAGGAAGCACTCCTCAAGGTGGCAATGATCATATAGCCAACATACAGTGGCTGTTTCCTTATGCAGAGCACTGCACTAAATACCTTAATTCCACAGTATACTGACCTCACAAAATATGCACTATCATTTATTCCTGTTTAAGAGAGGCTAAATGACTTACACAAAGTTATCTAGTGAGAAGAGAGCCAGGCTCCAGCAATCTGACCCCCAAGATTCAGATTTATCCCTGATGCTGCCTCTAACCATTAAGCTTCCCATCATCTGGGACATTCAGTCTACAAAGCACTGCTTTTTTCTTTAAACCTAAAAAAAGCCCTTTAAAATTTTTTTCTTTCTTTAATTGATAATTAAAAATTGTATATATTTATGTTGTACAACATGATGCTTTGATATATGTATACATTGATTGGCTAAGTCAAGCTATTTAACATATGCATTACCTCATATATGTTTTGATATGGTGAGAAAACTTAAAATCTACTCTCTTAGCAATTTTCAGGTATGCAATATATTGATATATTATCATATATAATATCAATATATCAATATATAATATCAATAATATCTATATACTATATCAATCTATAATCTATAATATATAATCTATATTTTATATATAATATATAATCTCTATATTATATAAGCTATAATATATAATCTATATATAATATATAACATATAATATATATAATATATAGATATTACATATAATATATATCAATATATAACATTAGCTTTAGTCCCCATGATGTACAATAGACCTCTTAAACTTATTCCTCCTGTCTAGTGGAAATTTTGTATCCTTTGATCAACACCTCCCAATTTCCCTACTCCTCAGCTCCTGGTCACTCTGTTTCTATGAGTTTGATGTTTTTAGGTTCCACACATAAGTGATGTCATAAAGTATTTGACTTTCTGTGCTTGGCTTATTTCTCTTAGCATAATCCCTTCCAGGTTCATCCATGTTTTCACAAATGACAAGATTTCCCTCTTTTTAAAGGCTGAATAGTATTCCCTTGGGTATATAGACCACGTTTTCCTTTTTCATCCATCCGTTGATGGAGACTTGGTTTAAAAAGTGCTTTGTATCATACCCACAGTTGGTTTGCCTGGTGACCTGTTGGAAATGTCCAGATACTTTTCATGGTTAGTGGGTATTTGTCACTTAGGTCTTATTTTCAAAAGCCACCCAAAAGCCAGAGTTTCTTGAGATGCTTTCTGTTTGTCGAATTCACTTGTCATGTAATGAAATTTTTCTGACGATAAGAACCCCATGGACAAAGCAAAATCTTTTACACAGAGCTGGAGTTGGCACATGTTCTCTCACTGGGAAATACATAACAAACGGCATGTCTAAGAGCCTGAAGCTCATCAGCATTTGCTTGGGGACAGAATAGGGTGCAAGAGCTTAAAGTGCAGAGTGAAGAGACTATGTCTCTGGCCTTTCCTGCAGTCCTGCAGGCGGGACCCCGAGCTGTGCCAGAGCTGTTCAGCGAGCTTGCCATGGCTGGTGCGAGGCCCTGGGTCCTAGACTGGAGTGGTTGGATTTGGTCTGCACACCAGCACACACAGAAGGTGCTGCACTCAGCAAACAGCTTGGGATTTACTGCCTATTTGTAAAACAAACAAACAAACAAAACCAAATGTGCCACTCCCTGCCATACCTCATGGGTGCTTGGTGCAGCCTACCATGAATGGTAGGTGAGAAAGGATCCTCTGCTTAGAGATCTTGGTGAGAATCTTCCTCTTGGCTGCAGGGAGGACATTTTAGATGCTAGTGGGGAGGGGGTGCCATGGAGGGTAGATGGTGCCAGAGTGTGGAAGAACATGGAGTTATATAGCCTAATTGGAAAAATAAGCCAAGTAAGTTTTCTTTTATCTATTAGAAGATGTGAGGCCAGGGATAGGAGAAAGCTGAAGACTTTATATGAGGGCTTCCAACACCCTTACCATTGTCTGCTACCACCTGGAGAGTCCCCTTCTCCTGTCCATAGGAGTTCTGACTGGTCCCACAGACTTCCCTTCTCAATGAAGGCCCAAGAGTTGAAGGAATACCGAACTTCTCATTCCTCGTCTGGAGGCCAGAAAGGTCCATACCTTGGTTTTAACCGTATTTGTTTCCTACTCTCTTCCACTTTTGCCACAGTTGGGGCCACACTCACGATGTAAAGCTGTCCTATCGCTTTTCCTCTTAGTGCAAGCTATTCCATTTCCCAGCTCTCTTGCAGCTAGCCGGGGTCATGGGACCCATTCTGGTCAATGGAATTTAAGGATTTTTTCTTCTAGTTTTGTGAAGAATGATGATGGTATTTTGATGGGAATTGCATTGAATTTGTAGATTGCTTCTGGCAATATGGTCATTTTCACAATATTGATTTTACCCATCCCTGCGCATGAGATGTGTTTCTATTTGTTTGTGTTGTCTATGATTTCTTTCAGCAGTGTTTTGTAGTTTTCCTTGTAGAGATCTTTTACCTCCTTGGTTAGGTATATTCCTATGTATTTTTATTTTATTTTTTACAGCTATTGTAAAAAGAGTTGAGATCTTGATTTGATTCTCAGCTTGGTCACTGTTGGTGTAGAGGAGAGCTACTGATTTGTGTACATTAGTTTTGTATCTGGAAACTTTGCTGAATTATTTTATCAGTTCTAGGAGCTTTCTGGAGGAGTCTTTAGGGTTTTCTAGGCATACAATCGTATCATCAGCAAACAGCGACAGTTTGACTTCCTGTTTACCAGTTTGGGTGCCCTTTCTTTCTCTTGCCTGATTGCTTTGGCTAGGCCTCCCAGTACTATGTTGAAGAGAAGTGGTGAGAGTGGACATCCTTGTCTTGTTCCAGTTCTCAGAGGGAATGCTTTCAACTTTTCTGCATTCAGTATTATGTTGGCTGTGGGTTTGTCATAGATGGCTTTTATCATATTGAGGTATGTCCCTGGTATGCCGATTTTGCTGAGAGTTTTAATTATAAATGGATTCTGGATTTTGTTGAGTGCTTTTTCTGTGTCTATTGAGATGATCATGTGATTTTTGTTTTTAATTTGTTTATGTTGTGAATCACATTTATTGATGTGGGTATGGTAAACCATTCCTGCATCCTTGGTATGAAACCCACTTGATCATGGTGGATTATCTTTTTGATATGTTGTTGGATTCGGTTAGTTAGTATTTTGTTAAGGATTTTTACATCTATATTCACCAGGGATATTGGTCTGTAGTTTTCTTTTTTTGGTATGTCCTTTCCTGGTTTTGGTATTAGGGTGACACTGGCTTCACAGAATGATTAAGGGAGGATTCCTTCTTTTTCTGTCTGTGGAATAGTGTCAGTAGGATTGGTACCAACTCTTCTTTGAATGTCTGGTAGAATTTTTTTGTTGGTAATTTTTAAAATTATTTCAATCTCACTGCTCGTTATTGGTCTGTTCAGGGTATCTAATTCTTCCTGATTTAAGCTAGGAGGATTGTATATTTCCAGGAATTTGTCTGTCTCCTCTATGTCTTCTAGTTTATGCATGTAAAGGTGTTCATAGTAGTCTTGAATGATCTGTATTTCTGTGGTGTCAGTTGCAATATCTCCCCTTTTGTTTCTAATTGAATTTATTTGGATTTTCTCTCTTCTTTTCTTGGTTAATCTTGCTGATGGTCTATCAATTTTATTTATCTTTTCAAAGAACCAACTTTTTGTTTCATTTTTTTTTTCTTTTTATTTGTTTCAATTTCATTCAGTTTTGCTCTGATCTTGGTTATTTCTTTTCTTCTGCTTGGTTTGAGTTTGGTTTGTTCTTGCTTCTCTAGTTCCTTGAGATGTGACCTTAGATTGTCTATTTGTGCTCTTTCAGACTTTTTGATGTAGGCATTTAGGGCTACTAACTTTCCTCTTAGCCGCCTTTGCTGTATCCCAGAGGTTTTGATAGGTTGTGTCACTGTTGTCGTTCAGTTCTAAAAATTTTTAAATTTCCATCATGATTTCGTTGTTGACCCAATAATCATTCAGGAGCAGGTTATTTAATTTCCACATTTGCATGGTTTTGAGTATTCCTTTTGGAGTTGATTTCCAGTTTTATTCCACTGTGGTCTGAGAGAGTGCTTATGTAATTTCAATTTTCTTTAATTTATTGAGACTTGTTTTGTGGCCTATCACATGGTCTATCTTGGAGAAAGTTCCATGCACTGATGAATAGAAAGTATATTCCACAGTTGTTGGGTAGAATGTTCTGTAAATATCTGTTAAGTCCATTTGTTCCAAGGTATAGTTTAAATCCATTGTTTCTTTGTTGACTTTTTGTCTTGATGACCTGTCTAGTGCTGTCAGTGGAGTACTGAAGCCCCCACTATTATTGTGTTGGTGTCTATCTCATTTCTTAGGTCCAGTAGTAATTGTTTGATACATTTGGGAGCTCCAATGTTAGCTGCATATATATTTAGGATTGTGATATTTTCCTGTTGGAGAAGGCCTTTTATCATTATATAATCTCCCTCTTTGTCTTTCTAAACTGCTATTGCTTTAAAGTTTGTTTTGTCTGACATAAGAATAGCTACTCCTGCTTGCTTTTGGTGTTCATTTGCGTGGAATGAATGACTCTAATATTTTGAGACTAGTTTTCACTCAGATCTTTGTATAATAGTATCAGTCTTTATAAATACTACCATATAATAGATTTTTTTATAGGCTTCATTTTTTAGAGTAGGTCATGGAAAAATTGAGTGGAAAGTACAGTTTTCCATATATGGACAGCCTCCCCAACCATCAACACCACCCCCACCAGAGAGTGGTACATTTGTTATAATTGGTGAATCTACACTGACACACCATTATCACCCACAGCCCAGAGTTTACACTAGGGTTCTCTCTTGATGTTGCACATTCTGTGGATTTGGACAAATGTACAATGACGTGTATCCAACATTGTGGAATCATACGGAAGAGTTTCACCTTTTCATCCTTTCTTGCCCCCATCCCCTAGCAACCGCTGATCTTTTTACTGTCTCCATAGCTTTGTCTTTTCCAGAATGTCATATAGTAGGTATCATAATATGTAACCTTTTCAGATTGGTTTCTTTCACCTGGTAAAATGTGTTTAAGTTTCCTCCATGTCTTTTCATGGCTTAATAGCTCATTTCTTTTTAGTGCTGAATAATATTTAATTGTATGAATGTACCACAGCTGATTTATCCATTCACTGTGTGATTGATTTTTGATATGGATTCTAATTTGTTAGGGGGATGGATCTATATATATCTTTTTCTTTTTAGAGGCAGGGTCTTGCTATGTTGCCTAGGCTACTAGGGTACAGTGGCTATTTACAGGTGTGATCATAGCACACAGCAGCTTCAAACTCCTGGGCTCAAGTGATCCCCCTTCTCACCTTCCTAAGCAGCTGGGACTACAGATGTATGCCGCAGTGTCTGGCTGAGGCCTATATAATATACATTTCCTTTATTCTACCCTCAAACCCATTCAATTGCCTAATAGAGACTCTGCAGGCAGAAGACTCTCAATAAATCCTAGTAAAATTCCTAGTCAGTCTGCCAACAACCCACATACTCAGGTGTACCTCTGATATCTTGGATGCATTTTTGTGTTTACATTGTGTGTTGTTCCTTACAAGTCTCTGATGGTGTGTGCACACCTCACCGGAGCCAAAAAAAATCCTGTGCAAAGTGAAAAACAGCAATGTACTGCCCCTCTTACCACTGTCTTCTTCTGTATCCATTCCTTATCTCGTTCTAATTTCTTCCTACGACGAACAACACGTTGAGGCTTTTGGACTTTTTTTGTCTCATGCTTCTCAGGTGTTGGTTCGGTCATTGGTTCGGTCATTAAACGAAATGTGAAAGTGGTCATCTCTGTTACCTTTTGAGCTGCCATTCAATTCAGGGATTGCATCGAATAAGATTTTGGTGGGAAAGAGAAAGGAAACTTAGATCTGTCTCTCTCAAGGTGCCAAAGGGAGTTTGAGGGTTTGGGAGAGCTGCCATTTTTCCCCAGTAAGGAAGGTTGTCGGGTAGTGGGAAGATTAAGGCCTTTGAAGAGAGAAATGTTGGGGCTGACATTCCAGCTCACTCTGTTTGGTCACACATTCACTCAACATGTACTTATCAAGTGCCTAGTGCATGTCAGCCCAGTGCTGGATGCCTGATATGGCAGTGACAGTCAACCTGTACAGATGTGGGGGTATGAGTGGGTGACGCAGTCATAAGCCAACTACAACGTAATGAGAGGAGCACTCACCCAGCGAATGGTGTGGCTGCTAATTGAAAAAACAGGTGAAAGTCAGGAAGTCATCAAAAAAAGGTACAATGGAAGTGTATATTAACATGTCATTTCAAAGGTAAGACAAAGTACAGGTCTGATGAATGGGCTCTGTGATCATTTTTGCTCAAATCACACCAATAATTGATTGACTGATGGACTGAGACAGAATGTTGCTCTGTTGCCCAGGCTGGAGTGCAGCGGCAAGATCTTGGCTCGCTGCAACCTCTGCCTCCTGGGTTCAAGCAATTCTTGTGCCTCAGCTGGGATTACAGGTGTGTGCCACTACACCTGGCTAATGTAGAGACGAGGTTTTGCCATGTTGGCCAGGCTGGTCTCAAACTCCTGGCCTCAAAGGATTATTCTGTCTCAGCTGCCCAAAGTGTTGGAATTATGGGCATGAGGCACCACACCTGGCTGAGTTTTGTTTTATAAAGCATTCCACTTAGTTTTCATTTCTTAGCAGCAAGTTTTTTATATTCATTTTGTCCATTTTTATGACAATTGAATTTTGAAACTAAACTAGTAAGAATAACTGAAAAACAAACCTAGTGTCTTTTGACAAGTGCTTAACACAGCAGTGGGAGCTGAGTGGTTGGAGCTGTGGTGAGGGGCTTCTAGCTGTGTTATCAGCCAATGTGTTCTCGGTGGGGGTGAGGAGCCCCAGCTCACTGCTTAACGGGGAGGTCAGTTAGGAGAGCGCCGTGTGTCCCACCACTGAGGTCAATACAGGCTTCCATGAGAGCTCATGGGAGGGAACTTAACCGGGCTTTGAAACTGAGAAGATTTCCACCTCCAGTGGAAGGTAAATCTATAGCATGCAACGGAGGAATCTCAGCATAAGCACTGTGTGGTTGGAAGCTGGAGTGGGGATGGGTTAGTGGTGACACAGGATTCAGGAGAGGCAGGCAGGGCCCACAGCAGCTATTCCTTAAGAGTTAGGTCAGGGGCATGAATTGGTACCGGGGGTAAAACTACTCTATTGAGAGGGAATCAGGCTGAGACAAGGCTCAGCAAGAAAAAGTACCATGATTGATTAGCTATGTCTCCCATGAATATGGCTGCCATTTTCATGTTAATTGGGTCCAGTCACCTGGAAGATATTCCGTGTTGTAGTTTTGAATGAAGATAGCTTAGTCCCTTCACTGAAGCCTTCCATGATTAGATCCATGAAGCTGATAACTTCCATGATTTGCAAATCTTAATAACTGCACACCAAATGCCTTTAGTCTCTTGGTAAAGAAGCTATTTGTTTTCCAATTTTTGCACTAATATTCCTTTCCTGGAGTACCCCACTCCCCCAAATATGTGTTAGATCCCTTACTGTGTGGTCCCACAGTGTCCCCTTCCCATCATAGGGCCTAACCATTCTATATGGTAATTCCCTACTTTCTTGTCTATCCTTCCAAGAATAGACCAATGAAGCCTGAGAAGCTCACTCTTTCTGGAGCATTCTCTTTCAAAGGAGCTCTGATCTGAGAACCAGAAAACACAGCTGCCCTGGAGAGCATCCTTTTTGGGAAGTAAGACAGTCCACACCACTGAAATGCCAAGGTGACTCACTCTGTGTTTGGATCCCCCACCTGCCCCTGCCACCAAGAGAGAAACTCACTGGGGCCCTAGACTCTGTCTGTCATGCTCAGTATTTCATCCCTGGCAGCCAGGACCACATTAGCCCTGTGGGCACTGAAGTGAGTGAATGAGCCCTTCCATCTTCTTTACAGTACAGCAGAAGGGGAGAGGTGGTGGGATGCAGACAGGAGAGCCAGCACCTGGTGGAAAATGGTGGAGTGGTGCCTACCTTCACGTCTCCTCTTAATCCATAAGATTGTTTCCTTGAACTTTTCGTAATTTTTCTTCAACCTAAAAGTAAAGTGCATCATCTTTAAAAGCCAAGACTAAATTCACACATACACGCCATTACACACAGTGCAAACAGTACTGAAATCTGTGGAGTCTCTTGCGCAGGTGGAAATGGGGCCAATGGCTTTGCTTTCTTTTTTTTTTTAAATCTGTGGAGTCTCTTGCGAGGTGGGAATAAATAATAGTTTTTTTTTTTTTTTTTTTTTTTTTTTTTTTTTTTTTTTGGGTGAAAAAAGATGCTGTTTTATTTTCTTAACTGTGGAACATTTTTATTTATTTTTTTATTTTTATTTTTTATTTTTTATTTTATTTTTTTAATTTATTTATTATTAAACCAGGCTAGAGGGGTACATGCACAACGCAGTTTGTTACATATGTATATTTGTGCCATGTTGGTGCTGCACCATCAACTCGCTTCATTTTACTCAGGTGAGACCTGCACCAATCCTCCTCTCTCCCATGATAGGCCTCGGCATGATGTCTTCTCCCGAGTCCAAGTGATCTCATTGTTCAGTTCCCACCTACGAGTGAGAACATGTGTTTGGTTTTCTGTTTCAGATAGTTTGTTATTAAGAATGATGGTTTCCCCAGCTGCATCCATGTCCCTACAAAGGACACACAAACTCATCCTTTTTTATGGCTGCATAGTATTCCATGGTGTATATGTGCCACATTTTCTTAATCCAATCTGTCACTGATGGACATTTGGGTTGATTCCAAGTCTTTATTGTGAATAGTGCTGCACAACATACGTGCATGTGTCCTTATAGCAGCGTAATTTATAATCCTTTGGGTATATACCCAGTAATGGGATGGCTGGGTCATATGGTACATCTAGTTTGTGATCCTTGAGGAATCGCCATACTGTTTTCCATAATGGTTGAACTAGTTTACAATCCTACCAACAGTGTGTAAAAGTGTTCTTATTTCTCCACATCCTTCCAGTGACCTGTTGTTTCCTGACTTTTTAATGATCGCCATTCTAACTGGTGTGAGAGCGGTATCTCATTGTGGTTTTGATTTGTACTTCTCTGATGGCCAGTGATGATGAGCATTTTTTCATGTGTCTGTTGGCTGTATGAATGTCTTCTTTTGAGAAATGTCTGTTCATATCCTTTGCCCACTTTTGGATGGGGTTGTTTGTTTTTCTTGTAAATTTGTTTGAGTTCTTTGTAGGTTCTGGATATTAGCTCCTTTGTCAGATGGAGTAGATTTCAAAAATTTTCTCCCATTCTGTAGGTTGCCTGCTCACTCTGATGGTAGTTTCTTTTGCTGTGCAGTTTTTAGTTTGATGAGATCCCATTTGTCAGACTTCTTGGCTTTTGCTGCCGTTGCTTTTGGTGTTTTAGACATGAAGTCTTTGCCCATGCCTATGTCCTGAATGGTACTACCTAGGTTTTCCTCTAGGATTTTATGGTATTAGGTCTAACATTTAAGTTCTAATCCATCTTGAACACTTTGTATATGAGTAAGGAAAGGATCCAGTTTCAGCTTTCACTTATGGCTGGGGTGTTTTCCCAGCACCATTTATTAAATAGGGAATCCTTTCCCCATTTCTTGTTTCTCTCAGGTTTGTCAAAGATCAGATGGCTGTAGATGTGTGGTATTATTTCTGAGGACTCTGTTCTGTTCCATTGGTCTATATCTCTGTTTTGGTACCAGTACCATGCTGTTTTGGTTACTGTAGCCTTGTAGTATAGTTTGAAGTCAGGTAGCGTGATGCCTCCAGCTTTGTTCTTTTGACTTAGGATTGTCTTGGAGATGCGGGCTCTTTTTTGGTTCCATATGAACTTTAAAGCAGTTTTTTCCAATTCTGTGAAGAAGCTCATTGGTAGCTTGATGGGGATGGCATTGAATCTATAAATTACCTTGGGCAGTATGGCCATTTTCACGATATTGATTCTTCCTATCCATGAGCATGGTATGTTCTTCCATTTGTTTGTGTCCTCTTTGATTTCACTGAGCAGTGGTTTGTAGTTCTCCTTGAAGAGGTCCTTTACATCCCTTGTAAGTTGGATTCCTAGGTATTTTATTCTCTTTGAAGCAATTGTGAATGGAAGTTCATTCCTGATTTGGCTCTCTGTTTGACTGTCACTGGTGTATAAGAATGCTTGTGATTTTTGCACATTAATTTTGTATCCTGAGACTTTGCTGAAGTTGCTGATCAGCTTAAGGAGATTTTGGGCTGAGACAATGGGGTTTTCTAAATATACAATCATGTCGTCTGCAAACAGGGACAATTTAACTTCTTCTTTTCCTAACTGAATCCCCTTGATTTCTTTCTCTTGCCTGATTGCCCTAGCCAGAACTTCCAACACTATGTTGAATAGGAGTGGTGAGAGAGGGCATCCCTGTCTTGTGCCAGTTTTCAAAGGGAATTTTTCCAGTTTTTGCCCATTCAGTATGATATTGGCTGTGGGTTTGTCATAAATAGCTCTTATGATTTTGAGGTACGTTCCATCAATACCGAATTTATTGAGCGTTTTTAGCATGAAGGGCTGTTGCATTTTGTCAAAAGCCTTTTCTGCATCTATTGAGATAATGATGTGGTTCTTGTCTTTGGTTCTGTTTATATGCTGGATTATGTTTATTGATTTGCGAATGTTGAACCAGCCTTGCATCCCAGGGATGAAGCCCACTTGATCATGGTGGATAAGCTTTTTGATGTGCTGCTGAATCTGGTTTGCCAGTATTTTATTGAGGATTTTTGCATCGATGTTCATCAGGGATATTGGTCTAAAATTCTCTTTTTTTGTTGTGTCTCTGCCAGGCTTTGGTATCAGGATGATGTTGGCCTCATAAAATGAGTTAGGGAGGATTCCCTCTTTTTCTATTGATTGGAATAGTTTCAGAAGGAATGGTACCAGCTCCTCCTTGTACCTCTGGTAGAATTCAGCTGTGAATCCATCTGGTCCTGGACTTTTTTTGGTTGGTAGGCTATTAATTATTGCCTCAATTTCAGAGCCTACTATTGGTCTATTCAGGGATTCAACTTCTTCCTGGTTTAGTCTTGGAAGAGTGTAAGTGTCCAGGAAATTATCCATTTCTTCTAGATTTTCCAGTTTATTTGCGTAGAGGTGTTTATAGTATTCTCTGATGGTAGTTTGTATTTCTGTGGGGTCGGTGGTGATATCCCCTTTATCATTTTTAATTGCGTCGATTTGATTCTTCTCTCTTTTCTTCTTTATTAGTCTTGCTAGTGGTCTGTCAATTTTGTTGATCTTTTCAAAAAACCAACTCCTGGATTCATTGATTTTTTGGAGGGTTTTTTGTGTCTCTATCTCCTTCAGTTCTGCTCTGATCTTAGTTATTTCTTGCCTTCTGCTAGCTTTCGAATGTGTTTGCTCTTGCTTCTCTAGTTCTTTTAATTGCGATGTTAGAGTGTCAATTTTAGATCTTTCCTGCTTTCTCTTGTGGGCATTTAGTGCTATAAATTTCCCTCTACACACTGCTTTAAATGTGTCCCAGAGATTCTGGTATGTTGTATCTTTGTTCTCATTGGTTTCAAAGAACATCTTTATTTCTGCCTTCATTTCGTTATGTACCCAGTAGTCATTCAGGAGCAGGTTGTTCAGTTTCCATGTAGTTGAGCGGTTTTGATTGAGTTTCTTAGTCCTGAGTTCTAATTTGATTGCACTGTGGTCTGAGAGACAGTTTGTTATAATTTCTGTTCTTGTACATTTGCTGAGGAGTGCTTTACTTCCAATTACGTGGTCAATTTTGGAGTAAGTACGATGTGGTGCTGAGAAGAATGTATATTCTGTTGATTTGGGGTGGAGAGTTCTATAGATGTCTATTAGGTCTGCTTGCTGCAGAGATGAGTTCAATTCCTGGATATCCTTGTTAACTTTCTGTCTCGTTGATCTGTCTAATGTTGACAGTGGAGTGTTGAAGTCTCCCATTATTATTGTATGGGAGTCTAAGTCTCTTTGTAAGTCACTAAGGACTTGCTTGATGAATCTGGGTGCTCCTGTATTGGGTGCATATATATTTAGGATAGTTAGCTCTTCCTGTTGAATTGATCCCTTTACCATTATGTAATGGCCTTCTTTGTCTCTTTTGATCTTTGATGGTTTAAAGTCTGTTTTATCAGAGACTAGTATTGCAACCCCCGCTTTTTTGTGTTCTCCATTTGCTTGGTAAATCTTCCTCCATCCCTTTATTTTGAGCCTATGTATGTCTCTGCGTGTGAGATGGGTCTCCTGAATACAGCAGACTGATGGGTCTTGACTCTTTATCCAGTTTGCCAGTCTGTGTCTTTTAATTGGAGCATTTAGTCCATTTACATTTAAGGTTAAGATTGTTATGTGTGAACTTGATCCTGCCATTATGATATTAACTGGTTATTTTGCTCGTTAGTTGATGCAGTTTCTTCCTAGCCTTGATGGTCTTTACATTTTGGCATGTTTTTGCAATGGCTGGTACCGGTTGTTCCTTTCCATGTTTAGTGCTTCCTTCAGGGTCTCTTGTAAGGCAGGCCTAGTGGTGACAAAATCTCTAAGCATTTGCTTATCTGTAAAGGATTTTATTTCTCCTTCACTTATGAAACTTAGTTTGGCTGGATATAAAATTCTGGGTTTAAAATTCTTTTCTTTAAGAATGTTGAATATTGGCCCCCACTCTCTTCTGGCTTGAAGAGTTTCTGCCGAGAGATCTGCTGTTAGTCTGATGGGCTTCCCTTTGTGGGTAACCCGACCTTTCTCTCTGGCTGCCCTTAAGATTTTTTCCTTCATTTCAACTTTGGTGAATCTGGCAATTATGTGTCTTGGAGTTGCTCTTCTCGAGGAGTATCTTTGTGGCGTTCTCTGTATTTCCTGGATTTGAATGTTGGCCTGCCCTACTAGGTTGGGGAAGTTCTCCTGGATGATATCCTGAAGAGTGTTTTCCAACTTGGTTCCATTTTCCCCCTCACTTTCAGGCACCCCAATCAGACGTAGATTTGGTCTTTTTACATAATCCCATACTTCTTGCAGGCTTTGTTCATTTCTTTTTCTTCTTTT